AAAAAGTTAGTTTTTTTATTCAAAATTTCAAAATTTCCGAAGATATACGAGAATTTATATATTGGCGCTGTTTGAAATTTGGCATATTTGTTGAAAGCGGATAATAACATCAAATGTGGTTTAGACACTTTCTTATTTGGAATTATTTGGAAGTAGGAACGGTGTGTCCATATCTATTTACATCTTTTTTTCCGCTCATGCACAATGTAAAAGGGTAGGAACGCTGCAATTTCCTTTCCTCTCCTGCTCAATGAAAGGGAAAGGAAAATAGGTTGCCATATATTAAAAAGTTCGCCAAGTGAATTATTCTTGGCGCAAACTGAAAAAAGTTCGCGAAGATAAATTTTTGAATTTCTCAAAAATTATAAAATTTAATATCTATGCATAATTTGAGTCGTAGAATCGAAATATGGAAAACAATTTGTATGTCGTTTCAGAAAAGGCCCAATTTTGTGTCAAAACACCTATGTTAGATCGCCCACTAGCAAACGAGCTGTAAAGTCGCTAAACACTGGTAGTTCGGTCCGAGGTTCGAATCCCGTGAACGGGCTGGCTGCATGGGCGTTTTCGTGGGTTTCCCCCTGTGTAACGTGTATACGAGCCAGTTTCCTTTAGAAAGTCCTCCACGAAGGCATCCATCCTCTTAGGCAGACAGCCCCAGTGTGCTTTGCCATAATTAAATACACCAACACCAACCTATGTTAGAACAATGCTATATATAAATCTAATATATATCCTGTTACGCTTTCGAGACATGAAAAAAGCAATTTGAATTTCGTCAATCGGCCCAGTAGAACGGAAGATATAGAGCTGTCCCATTTTTCTTTTTCTCAGTGTACGTCAACAACATAGTAGAAATTTAATTGAAAGTTTAAAGCCGGAATGGACAAAAACAAGGAACACTTCCTGCTTATGAAAAAGCATTCGATGTTGTTTGGGAATATTTCGCCATAACGTACGAAGTCATAAAAATGTTTATTAGTAATTATTTGTAATTATTATTATTGTTTATTAGTAATATTATAAATGTGAAAGCTTTCAGATAATTTTTTTATTAGTCCAAAAGGGCAATTTGCCTTGAAGGACTATTAATTTCGTTTGGACATTTTACGTCGAAAACTTTAAAAGCCTGTATCACTTTTCAAATCGTTGCCACCATTTATCATCGCCCTATCTTATATTTAAAGAAATTAAATAATGAAGAATCTGCATGGATGTATGTATGTTTCTCGCATTGCAACAAAACAACGGTACCTAGAGCCATCAAAATTTGAATAACGTAATCTTAAGCCCTAATTTGAATTTGAAATTTGTTTTGTTATCGATTTCAGATTTAGTAACATTTCAACGAATTTTTTATTGAAAATCTAAACGATTTCGAAGTGAGCGATGGCAACATCGTACGAAAAAAAAATTACCTCCAGTACACGAGACTGTGTATTGGAAATTCTAAAGATATGCTCATTTTAAAATTAATTTGCGATATTGCTGGTGAACTGAATTTTATAGTTTGAGTACATAGAACATATTTAATAAATAACAAAACGTTAAAAAAAACGCCCCTTTGGACGTAATTTAAAATCTGAAACCTTTCAGATTTTATTTATTTTTGTTAGTCTTTCCTGACGCCCTTTCATAGGGCTGGTTTTAGTAGTTAAGCCCTGGTATTAATGTGCCTAAAAAACAAATAGAGCTCCGGCATTTCTGACTTTAGAAATTAACCCCTGATACTAACATTTTGTTTTGACCGAAAAACAAGCGCAAGCATATTTGCTGGAGCAAGTTTTAAAAGTCTTTTCTATAGTCATGGTCGTAGTTCTCACTCATTAGGCATTCATCTCTGACGACTGAGAAATAACAGCCTCATTTTTCATCGGTCATACTCGAAGCGGGAAGTAGTGGAATTGGAACTGGTTGTTGTACTTGCACTTAAAACGTAACTAACGAGGTATGGATTCCACAAGCAGCAGGTGGCTGTCTAACTCATACGAGTTTACTCGAAATCAGTCAGTTGAAATAGTAAGTTGTGATATTTTCGTGTATTTGAAATCTGATATATCAGTGGGATACTGAGTTCTTTCCTCTCAGGTTTTCTTTTCAAGGAAAACACTGCTTTTGAAAGTGCCATAAGACCTCAATTACCTGAACTCATTATGCCCGGAATACGTTCAGATAAGGAAACTTAATGATTTAAAATGAGCTATTTTATGTTTAATTAAAAACACAACATAATTAATAATTGACAAATAGAAATTAATTTTCAGTTATTAATTATATTATTCCATATTAATTAGCCCAGAGGGGCTATTAATTTCGTTTTGGCATTTTGCATTGGCATTCGCCGTTTGGCATTCGCCGTTTAGCGAATCACTTTTTAAATTGTTACCACCAAATATTAGAGCTCTATATTATATTTATAGAAATTAAATAATGAAGAATCCGCATAAATATATGCATGTTTCTCACGTTGTGATAAAACAACGATAACGAGCGCCATCCAATTTTGTATAACGTAATCCTCCAACCGAATATGGACATCTGGAAGCCCTAATTTGGAATTTGTTTTATTATCTATTTCATATTTTGTAAAGCATTTACGATTTTTTGATTAAGAAACCCAACAATTTCAAAGCGAGCAATGGCAACACTGTACGGGGGGGGGACTTTTTTATCTCCAGTGCGCGAGACTGTGTATCTGAAATTCTAAAGATATGCTCTTTGTAAATTATTTTGCGGTATTGCTCTTGAATGGGATTTTATGGTTTAAGTGCGAAGAACATGGTATTTCATAAATAAAGGTAACACTTAAAACGTTAAAAAAAACGCCCCTTTAGGCGTAAGGTAAAATCTGAAAGCTTTCAGATTTTTTTATTTATTTATTTATTTTAGCCAAACGAAAAAGCAAAGTTATTACGCTCTGAATTTTAACTTTAAAATCTTTTATCTTTTAAAATTCATTGTTTTCGTACAAAGCAAAAACTTAATTCCTTCGAATTTATGTGACATAATATTCTGAAAGCTTTATCATCATCTTTATTATTCAATTATTATTTTTAAATAGGCTTTATTGGGTGTAAGAAATAAAAACGTCTAGAATGAGAAATAGGCGGAAGCGTGGCGAGTGGTTAATCGTATGGCGAAATATGACTTATTTCTTTGAACCGAAATTCATTCATGGATGCGATTTAAAGATTTTGAGATTGGCGTTGGGAAGTTCGTTTTAGTGGAAGCATTGCAAAAACTGTAGTCATTAAAATAATTTTGAAGCAGGAGACATGAAAGATGAGCAATGCCTTCGCCGGTGTTCGAACCTGGACCTCTCGAATACGCGCCGAGTTTGCTACCGATACACCACGAAGGCATGTAGAAAAGTGGGAGAAAATGCTTTATATACTCCCCTTTTAAATTGCAACTGGGAATTAGGGAGACCCAATCGCCAAATCCTGGTGGTGAAGAATCATGATCTACCACCTTTTTTTTTAATTATTTAGTTTGGGCGTGACTATAGTGTCATTAGGATTTTTGAAGTAGGAATAACGAAAAATGAGCAATGCCCTCGCCTGGACTCGAAACTGGAACTCTCGAAAACGCGTTTGGGTGCTATCGTTACACCACGAAGGCACGCAGAAAGGAGGGAAAAAATACCGTATAAAATGTTTTAATTGGGTTAAAGCCCATATTGGTTGTATGGGCAATGACAGGGCGAGTGTCTTAGCAAAGTAGGCATCAAGAGAAATGAGATTGAAACTGTCGATGTACAAGCCTCTAAGAGAAGATGCATTAACATTATGAAAAGTGACATTGCAGATAAATGGCGGACTCAATGGGAAAAGTCTGTTAAAAATAATATTTTCATGAAGATTTTTGTTCCTAAGGAAATATGAATATTAACAATGACATTGACTTGAATCATTTAATTACAGGTCATGGGAGATTACCCATTTATCTAAAAAGATTCCATGTTCAAGATAATGATTTAGGTAAAGTACGTACAAAAGTAGGAGACAATGTCCACTTTATTACAGAATGTAAGTTAACCAGATGCATTGATGGAGCGAACATAGACTTTATGAAAAATGGTTTACTTAAGGCAAGAGGAATAGCATATAAGATTATGAAGACTATTAATAACAATAAAGAAGCCATTGGCATTGTGTGATTCGTGTGTCTGTATAGTTGTGCGGTGATTTTTGTACTGGCGTAGCCCGTATAGGGTCATAGGGCAAACTTTGTTTTGCAAGGTGGACCGGACTGCGCCCTAAGCTCATAACACCGTATAAAATGTCTTGTTGGGGAACTATGTACGTTCTGACACAGTTGTGTTTTCGAGCAGCCTGTAAATTTGATTTTTGATATAGTGTCGAATTAATATTTTAAGCCGTCCAACTGGTATAGTGGCTAGACTCGCTGACTGCCGTGCCGAAGGGCCCGGGCTCTAATCCCGGAGAAGGCATGGATGTAAGTGTAATAGTGTCGGTGCGGCATGGAGGCACTCTAAATATGCGGCGAGCCGAAAGTCTTCTCGTGTGGTTTGTTGGAAGGGGGAGGAGTGAGAGACCTTCGGACCCGTCCCTCCCTCCATGGTGCTCTCTATCGAAATTGGGTGCGGAACAGAGCTAAATCGCACTGTCATATAAAAGCTGCTCAAGGCTGTTGCCAACGGCGGGCGTATTCAAGTGCTCCCTGCCACGAGGAATTTCGTGGGCTGGGCTGACTATGTCAGACAAGTGAGCATTAGTCAACAACAACAACAAAATTAATATTTAATTAAAGCATAATTCATGATCCACCAGTTATCCGTCCCCGTTCTTAAATGAATTTTCTACCAGGACCATTACACGTGAAAACGAAAACTAATTTAAGCTATAGTACGTAAGGTTTCTAAGCAAACTGCAAATTTTTAGACAAATTGCATTCTTAATCAGTGCTTTTCTAGTAACGGAAATAAATTGATAAAACTGGATGAGCTTGAAACTGATGCTCGTCTTTTTTATTTTTAGCGTACAACGTCTTTTCCCCAGCGAAGAACTTATGAAATCGGGAGACCGTCCTACTCCCCAACCTACTCCGCTGCTCCAACAGCCAAATTTCGAGAATCCATCAACGAAGAGGGTTCGTCTGTAGGGTCCTTCACCCGCGTATCTCCGGTGCCCAAGGAGTACTACAAAATGAATGGATACGCCATCAAAAGCACTTCTGCCACCAAGAGTTCTACAGTGGTGGATCCCAGAATCCCTCAAGGTACTACCATCGTTTCTATTTGTTTATAAATTCAGGTTATTTAGCCGAAAGTCTCTTCTTCTGAATTTTTCTTGCTGTTTTAGTTAACATTTTAACTTTCGTTGAAATTTTGTACAAAATAAATACTCATTTCGAACACTTTGTGCATTTATTCTCAGTAAAACTTCATTTTGCGACGAACTGCATTAAAAATTTGAAATTAAGTAAAATTTCAGGAATTTAATCAATGCACTGTACGAGCATTTTCATAATAATTTACAAAAAAATTGATACTTGTAAATAATGTTTTTAGTACTTTTTACTCTCGTTTTCAGATGTATTTAAGGAATGCCGCTTTTTGGGAAAACAAAATCGTTGAAAAATTTCTTTAAAATTTTAAACTCTTTGAAAAAGACAAAACCAAGTATTGATATCATTGAATAGTTTTTACGTTCTCATTTAATAGAAATTACAAGAGCTCATAAGAGATAACAAATAACAATCAACATAAACACTTTTAAAATATAATTTAAAGTTGCAGAAATTTATTCGTAATAGTTTTATTAACATCGTTCTTCCATTTTCACAATGCTATTTTATTTATTATTTGCGTATGTCGAAACTAATTTTGGCAATCAAAACGACAACATTCCTTAACATTCGCAGTGCCGGTAATTTTCCTCAAAAATCCTAGTTAACCGTATAGTATATAGCCGATCACAAAAATAACGTATTTAACGTAAGCAGTCTTTTATCCAGCAATCAAAACAACCTCAGATAATCTCGAGATTTTGGTGTTCTGTTTTAGAGGGGTTGTATAAGTATTGAAAAACGCATAAAGAAACAAAATTATTATTTCCAAGATAATTAAAGCAATTAGGTTACTTGTGAACTTATCGTCATCATCATTATTATATTCCTGTTCCTTTTTCCATTTTAGCCCAAACGAGGGTTACCTCAGAAAGGCTATTAGGCTCGAAATGAGATTTTGCATTGAATCATTACAAATGGCTGAATCACTTTTCAGACTGTTGCCTCTGAATATTTTACGCAAAGGAAACCGATTAAATGATACGCAAATTATTTTTAACGGTTTCTGACGATTATTTGTGTAAAATTCTTAAGTGAAAACTGAAAATTAAAAGTAGAAATAGCAGGCAGCACTCGTAGCAATTAGCAATCATAGCAGCCTGATTGAAAGAGTAAACGGCACTTGATCTGGACTCATCACGTTGTCTTCCTTCGATGCGAATAGGTTAGTTAGCCGTATGTGGAAAGTAAGGACAAGCCGCTTATCCCTGGGAAATCATCCACGAACACATTCCTCCCCTTATGCGAACAATCCTGATATATGTTAAGGTGAAAGACCGAAATCTGGAGAGTGTCGACTTTCACCGGCGAATGTCAACATTTACAGAGTCGCTTGGTGTATGTCCGAAATATTTTCCAAATACTCTTATTTCTGACTACACCGGTCAATGTCGACATTTACCATGTGAATGTTGAACATATAAGAATATTATATTTTCTGCTCCGTAATTCAGCCGCGAAAAAACGCACTTGAGACTTAAATAAGAACTTAAGAACTTAAAAACTTAAAACACACAGTACATTCAAAATGAGAATGGAAAATAATAGAAGTTCTATTATGACATTTTGAATTGCACAAGAGGCCTTGCTTTTACAACTGCATTTATTTGTGGAAAACTTCCTTTTGCAATGACAGCGTGTACATATACTCCTCTCTTTTCGGCTTACACCAGAAGATATCTGTGATTGTCGACATGCACCGGTGAGGGTCCGAATGTACAAGAATGTAATGCAATATTCGATCTTTCACCGACGTATTTGGTGAATGCTGACATTCTCCGGTGAAAGTCGACATTCTCCAATTTCGGTCTTTCACGGTAACATATACACTGCCTTATTGTACTAAAAAGGCAAACAGATATTTGTCATCCCAGACGGTAAAAGATTTCTATCCACGCTTTGTAGAAAATTAGCAGTCGTCTGCGGCTTCCATTCGAAGGAAACTAAGATCCGTAATTAATTCATAAAATTAAAATATGCATATAATTAACAGCGTTTTAACAGAATAATTTATGTATTTTTAATTAACTGCGTCTTTCTTTTATTTTTAATACCTCTAATCGATGTAATTTATAATACGTATAATTCAGATAACTTAATGATAACTGAGGATTATAGACATTTCCGTCATCGTTATTATCAATGAAAAATAAGGCCTAGCGCCATATATTAGTTCTTCACTATGTTGGGTTTCATTTCTCTCTCATATTTACTTTGATCGTAAATAAAATTTTATTATAGTGGCATGTATTTCTTCTGAGACGAAATCTATGCTTTCGGTTCATTCATATTAGCGGCATGCATTTCATCCTAACTCGACTGAAATCTATACTGTAGAATCCTATATAAATGATGAAATAAACAAACAAAAATTACTACGAAGTATCACAACAGAAACGCCCCCCAGTAGTACGAAGAATCGAAAGTTTTTTTTTTTTTTTTTTTTTTTTTTTTCTGAACGAGGAAAAGAAATTTTACGCTCTTTTCAACGACGTCGAATCTTAATTTGAAAAGCAAGACTGACAGATTTGGCGCGTTGTTTTGGGATCAGCTGTCACGAGTCCTGTGAACTCTCTCCTCTCTTATGTTTAATTCATTTGGAGCGACGCCCAACGAGCACGCTTCATCGCATAAGCTCATCTCGAATGAACCTCTCGGCCCAATTATCATACCTGACTTGCACACTCGAACCTTACACCAAGACAGATCGCCAAAAAGCATCCGGTTCACCAGGTCCGTTTCATTTTCTTATATTGTTAGTAAACACTCTTTTTCTTCTTTTCTGTAAACAAGTAAATAAAAAACGTCCGTCGTTTTAAATAATTTGTGTATTTAAAGGAGAAGGAGAGTTTTTAAAGCATCTTAATATATATTTTTATGTCCCGCGAAGGAGAAAATACGTCTGCGTTTCTTGGAAGGTGAATCATTTTTCTTTTCAGATTTTGTTCTATTCCTCATACTTTCACTCTTAAGGTACCAGAAGCGGGCGCATCCCGACCCACCTAACCGAACAAGATGGTCTGAAGGTCATAACAGGCCACGCTCAGGCCTATGTTTTCTCCTTCCTTACAGTATTTTGTCCCTCCTTTCTGAAACAAACAAAAATGACACCACGAAGGCATCTTCATGGTGTAATGGTAGCACACTCGCCGCGTATTCGAGAGGTCCAGGCTCGAGTCCCAGCGAGGACAATGTTAATTTTTCATGTCTCACGTTTAAAAAAATCCTAACGGCTCTACACTGGCGCCCGAACTAAAAGGGGGTGGATGATGATGATTCTTAACCGCCAGAATTTGGCGATTGGATCCCCTAATCCTCAGCCTCCCTTTGAAAAGGGGGAGTATATAAGGTATTTTCTCCATTCTTTCTGCATGCCTTCGTGGTGTAACGATAGCACACCGGAGAGTATTCGAGAGGTTCAGGTACCAGCAAAGGCATTGCTTATTTTCTATGTCTCCTGCTTCAAAAATAACCTAACGATTCTACACTGGCGCCCGAACTAAAACGGGGTGGATGATGGTTCTTCACCGCGAGGATTTGTCGACTGGGTTCCCTAAACCCCAGTCGTCCTTTAAAAAGAGGAGTATATATGTTATTTTCTCTCTTCTTTCGGCATGCCATCGTGGTGTAACGGTAGCTCACTCGAATCGTATTCGAGATGTTCGAGTCCCGGCGACGGCATTGCTGATTTTTCATGTCAAATGCTTAAAAAAATTTAAAAAAAAAAAAAAAAGCCCCATCAGCGGCCGAGCGATAAAATCTGAACACTGGTAGTTCGGTCCGAGGTTCGAATCTCGCGAACGGGCTGGCTGCATGGGCGTTTTCGTGTTTTTCCCCATGTGTAACGTGTATACGAGCCAGTTTCCTCTAGAAAGTCCTCCACGAAAGCATCCCTCCCCTTAGGCAGATAGCCCTAGTGCGCTTTACCGTATTCTCAATACACCATGCTTCAAAAAATCCTAATGACTCTACACACTCTCAAATGTAATAATCTTTAAATGCATGATTGCAGAAATCATATGAAACTCGAGACTGCTTTGCAGTTACCATTGTGGTTCTCGGTTGTACTCAAGCAATTGTCTACATTTATATTAAATTAAACGTTTTTCTGTCCGCTAATCATAACTTTTACGAGAATTTGCGTGACACGGAATTACAAAGTAACGACAAGATTTGTTTCTCATTATTACAGTGATGTGTGCAAAGCTCGGGTTTGCATAAAATCCAAAGTTTCAAGAAAATGTCTGTTTTCCAATAGGCTACGACCAGTTCAGTGTAGAATTCATACCTTTTTTATAACATTAAAACGGCCGTTTTCAGATAAAATTTTGCGGACAATTAATATTCCCATTCTCTGTGATATTGTTTTTTTCAACTTTGCTAATTATATTGTGACGTGAATTCTTACACTGCAATTAATAGAAGTCGGCAGTTTCACTTCGTAAGTGAAATAGAAATAATAGTGGCGTAAGTAGAATCTGCAATTTTTCTTACGAGACTTTCTAGTTGGGAAAAAAAAATCGTAACTATAATGAATATATTAAATGAATGTATGATGATATAAAATTCGGTCATTTAAAAAAGATGAAAGTATTTGTTTCATAATTCTTCAAAATTCTGGTCTGTGTTTTATGCATGCTGTAAATTGGGCAATGTTTCTTCTAACTCATTCTGCCAAAATAGAGCTTATGGATACTAGGCCATATATCACTATTGAAAAACGGATTATAACAGTTGGGCATAAGGCAGTATTTCGTATAAATTTCTCTTCTTTTCTGAAAAATTGTTTGATAAAATACGTTTCTGGGGAATTTAGTGGATTAATCATCCATACAAAATCACGGGAGTCTATCTTCGGCGCTTCTTTTAACCACCTGTAGAGACAGGACCTCCGAGAGTGATCGCGCCCCCAACCGTGAAATAGTGCAGAG